GTTTTCTCTGACTCATTGGGTATTTACCTTCACTTAGCAGGAAGTGAGGGAACTCTTCTCTTAAATGAGAACTATAGGGTCAGTGCTTTTCCCCATAGTTTTCTTTAGGGTCACGGGAGGACACATACTAACCTCCTCCCGTTACCCAAAACTCAGTATATTGCGGGCTATATACTGAGAGTGCCGCAGCCTGGTCGGATCCCGACAATACTCTCTGGATCCACTTAGCTGTGTGAGTGACAGCTGGCTCTGCCTATCTAGAGGCAGAGCCAGCTGTGGCCGCCCCGCCCCTCGTCCTTCCATTCCTCCACTCAGCGCTGGAGGATCGGAGAGGGGAGGGGGGAATCCCTGCCGGAAGTGGTGACTGACAGTCACCGTTCACTGCAGGGAGATGATCGGGAAGTGAGCAGATCGGCGGCATGTTTCTACTCACTTCCCGATCGATGGAGCCGACCTGTGACAGCTTCTTTGTCACAGGTCGGCTCTAACTATGAGGATGAGTGGAAATTACTCACCTCATAGTTCTCCTTTTTAAAGGAGAATTATGAGGCGAGTGATTTTCACTCAGCCTCATAATCTGAGCCGACCTGTGACCATGAAAATGTCACAGGTCGGCTCAGTATGTCGGGAAGTGAGGGAACACATACCGTCGCTCGCTCACTTCTCGATCTATCACTGCAGAGAGCCGTGACTGTCACGGCTCTCTACAGGGATTCCCCCCTCCCCTGTCTGATCCTCCAGCGCTGACTGGCAGAACAGACGGGGGAGGGGGCGGGTACAGCTGGCTCTGCCTCTGGATAGGCATAGCCAGCTGTCAGTCACACAGCTGGGGTGATCCAGACAGTAACGCCGGGATTCGTCCCGGCTGCGGCGTCTCAGGTATACTGAGCTTTGGTTAACGGAAGGACACTAGTTTGTGTTCTCCTGTGACCCTTAGGAGAACTATGGGGAAAAGCACTGACCCCATAGTTCTCCTTTAAGGCCATACATTATGCATTTTACTTTCTTCTATCTAAAAACAGTGTGGGTTGTGGAATCCTCCCTGCTGAGCTATTGTATTCTAACAGCAGCGGGTGTGCCACTGTCAGATTACCTCCACAGTGACTGCAGCTGGTTGGCCACTTTTTTTTTTAGCATGTAATTTTTATTGGAAAAAAAAACAAAAAACTTCTGCATACATACAGAACGCATAATAAGAAACGAAACATCCCCATAACTGAGCGTTGACTAACATAGATGAATATGAACAATCAATCTTAATGTTTGTGTTAAACCACAATCAAGCCTTACAGCCCGCGGGGGGTAGGGGTACACTTGAAAAGAAATAGGGTCTAGATATGAGCATAATGTAGACATATAAAAATATCAATATTACATTTTAGTACCTAAGAAACATAGATATGGACACAAGCAGTGCCATCAGCCTTGCTATGTAGCATTGGACATAAAGGGATCAGTCTGGAGGCATCAAGTATTGGCAGCCTACAGGACATCTAGTGCACCAAGTGATCCATCGAGTTTTGAGGTGAGATACCACTTAGTGAGTTGAAATGTCGTCATAATTTCCTTCAGTCGGTTTGTATGAAGCTCAGTCACTAGGAATGTGGACCAGGTGGCAAAGAAGTTTGCAGTGAGGGGTTGGTTTATCTGCGCATCTAGCAGGTCAAGGGACATCAGTTTGTGTAGGAGGTCTTTTACTAGTTTTATTGTGGGGGGGCTTGGGAGCAGCCATTTAGTTAGTGTCGCCTTCTTTGCCACCAGTAAACATAAGTGTTCCCATCTAGATGGTTCACGAGGGACAGCTATGTCTGCCGGGGTAGCCGTATGAAATAGGCTTTTCCTTTTTTGGGAATGAGACGAATATATGCGTCTTGAAAGGTGTCCGGGTATGTGTGGGTGGATAGTATGTGTTGGTATACCTTGCCCAAAGTGGGGGCTACATCATCCGATAGGAGGTGATAGAATTCGGCCGAAAAGCCATCAGGGCCAGGCTGGTTGGCCACTTTTGTGTGCTCTGTATTGTAAAAAAAAAGGTTTTGTATGTTTTTGCCTGCATTGTAGTGTGCTGGCAACCTATTCAAAACGATTGAAATTCTGTGCTAAAATGCACCTTAATCTGTGTGTGGTAACAAACCAGAAAACAATGCAAACTTGTGAATTTAACCTTACAGATTTCCTAAACCTCTAACGTGATGTGTGTAGTGTAATGGTTGTCCAATGTATGCAGGTGCATCATAATGTACATTGTATGTGTGTGTACGTGAGCGTACATGCGGGGGTAGGGGTCTTTTGTTAAGTTTCCTTTTCATGCGGGTGATAACTCCCATGGTGACAGTATATTACAGCTGTGACAGGTCCTCTTTGGGGAAATACCAGTCTAAAAAGCCCCACCTTTCCCCTTAGGGGTGGCGTAAGAGCTTGAGAAGTTCTCATTTCCTCCTCTGTTGCCAATCTGCAATACATTGAACCTGGACATGCTCAGTACTTGGTTCCAGGTTCAGTAACAGTCTGTTTCTCACCGCTCATGGGTGCTGGTATGACCTGCAGATGGCCCTGCTTGAATCAAAGTAATCACCCGCACACCAAGGTCAAACGTGTAAAAGGCCTTTATTCAGACGTTAAACGTATATTGTATCACCAGTGGACAGCAACATTTTGGAACCATTAAATGTACCTTCATCAGGCAAATGTTTGCGTGATAAAGGGACCTTTAATAGTTCTGAATTGTTGCTGTCCCCTGGTGTTACCATGTATGTTTAACATCTGAATAAAGGCCCTTTACACGTTTGACCTTTGTGTGCGGGTGATTACTTTGATACTTGGGTACCAGGTTAGTTCACAAAAACTCAAGATCAGCAAACATGAAAATTCTTCCAAAGAGAGGGAAAAAGGTTATCTCCAGAAGAAGTTTCCCCATTGAAATTTTTCTCCTTCATTAATGTTCTGGTGATAACTAAAAAACTGGGATTTTATTTTTATTCCCTATGATAATGGTCACCACTAGGCATGCATCGATACCGATACTAGTATCAGTAGCGATGCCGAGTATTTGGATCACACTTGCCCAAATGCTCCGATGCCTAGCCCGATACCTGAGCTTCTGGTATCAGGAAGCTAGGCGGCGAGTCATTACGCGCTGCCCGGCTTCCTGATTGGCGAGGAAGCTGGCTCCATGCTCCCTGATTGGTTGGGAAGCTGGCCAATCAGGAAGCTGGGCAATGAGTCATTACCCGCCCCCTGGCTTTCTGATTCGCCAGAAAGCCGGCTTCATGCTCCCTCGTCACCAGCATGGAGGCGGCATCCCGGGCAATCAGAAAGTCGGGCAACGTGTAATGACTCGTTGCCCGGCTTCCTGATTGGTTGAGAAGCTGGCCAATGAGGAAGCCGGGCAACGAGTCATTACACTGCACCTGGCTTCCTGATTGGCCAGAAAGCTGGCTCTATGTTTCCTCGTCACCTGGTGACGAGGGAGCATGGAGACAGCTTCTCTGCTAATCAGGAAGCTGGGTGGCAAGTCTTTACACGCCGGCCGGCTTCCCGGCTAAGCAGGAAGCCAGGCGGCGAGTCTTTACACGCCTCCTGGCTTCCTTAATGGGACTTCCAGTATCAGTATTCGGTATCAGCAAGTACCTTAAAAAAAATGTCAGTGCATCCCTAGTCACCACAAATAGTGGATCTCCATAATGAAGACACATACAGCAATAAACATCTTAACAGAGGTTCCAATCCCTTTTTACTCTTTCCAAAAGTTAAAAAAAAGGTATTGGCTTCACTTGTACTTTAACTGATCAAGTATAACACATTTTTAGTGGGCCAAGATGCTACACACATTTCTTTTTCTAGAGGGGATTTACCTCCTTTGTAAGATGTAACTTGAACTTTGAAGTCATAAATACATCAAAGGTTTAGAAAAAACTTGTGTGTATGGCCTCCCCTATTCATGCATGAAGCAGTTGACAGTTGGGGTGGCTACAGTGATCTTTTTGCAAACCACAGTGCAAACACCTACTGGAGTCTGCTTGCACACCTTAGTTTATCTGTACAGTACTTTGCTGACCTGAATAACCAGGTCTGTGTTACACACAAGAAAATTCAACCAGGTCTCTTCCTGGTTGCTGTGTAATCCATTCTTTTCTGCATTCTGTACCTCTCTAATGGATCAATCATACTCTGTAGCTAGCTGCGAGCAGACTACAACCAAGAAGAGGAAGCGACCTGGTTGTTTTTTTGCATACACGCATAGTTTCTAGTGTAAGCCATGCCTTTTTTTCTGCAAATAAGGTTTGCATGCAGGACCTGGAGTGCACCAGCTAACATGGCACTTGCCTTTGAGGCAGCTCCTGACTTGAAGAGCATCTATCTGCCCTTGCATTTTATGGTCTGAGTCGCTGCAATGAAGGTGCAAAAAGGATTATTTGCCTAGGAAAGAATTCCCTCCAAAAATCTTTTTATGTGTTGCCCAAAATGATGTGCACACTTGTGTATTTATAAACAATTTGTAGACCCATTCATGCTTTGAAACTCCGTGTATGTTCGTTCTGTGCGAATAGCTGCAAAAAACAATACAAAACACAAAACAAACTTTATTGGTATCGTTTCTTTCAAAGTTGAGTTTAATATCAGAAAATAGCACATTATGGCCACTAGATGGTGCTCATGAGCATTGTAAATGAATACTTATTTTCGGAGCTCCATCTAGTGGCCATAATGTGCTATTTTCTGATATTAAACTCAACTTGGAAAGGAACAATAGAAATAAAGTTTGTTTTTTGCAGCCATTCGCACAGAATAAACATATGCAGAGTTTTGCAGGACTACTGGGTCTGCAATTTTTTTCTAATAAATACTCACATTAGTGTAAACATATAAAAGTTCTAAAATACATTGCCTTTTGTATATTCTGCATTAATTAGATTTTGACAGAAAAACACAAATATACAAGAGAAAAAAAATCCACCTGTTTTACTCTTGACCTTTTTTTTTCCCCAGGTGTTTAAATATGCATAATTCCAGGAACAGAAAAGGTCATTCAGATGGTGCTTGCGCTCAGTATGGAACAGAAGAGGATGAAGGCTCCAGTTCAGAGCGTAGGAATATGGCTAGTCCGGCAAATATAATGGATGAGAAAGAACAGTCTATTGTCATCTCTGATAGCGACAGCTTGGTATGTATTTTGAAAATGGCAATACGTCTTGACAGTAGAATATTATTTTAAATGTAGGCTAGTAGACTCCAAATTCCAAATTAAAATGAATGAGTAGTACTGTAAATGATCTTTTAATCTGCACAGTGTTTCCATTTACCAAAGTAATTAAAGTATAATTAAACTCTTGTTTTTTTGCATATATCCACTGCTAACAAGCAGTGGATATATGCAAAAACATAAAAAAACCAAAAAGATAATTATTCACCCCTGTCTCCACGGTTCGCTCCTGTTTGAAGATCTTGAGCAGCCGAGCAGGATAATGGGGCAGGTGCATGCGCAGTAGAGATCTTCAGCGGGGAGAAGAGGAGAGACACCGTGTAAAGGTGCCCATACACTGCACGATTATCGTACGATAATCGTATGCGATCGGGTTTTCGTACGATAATCGAGCAGTGTGAACGGAGACGTGCGACCGTTTCTACTGTACGGTCGCACGTCTTCTGTCGAACCAGCATGTTCGAAAACCAGCCGGGAATCGTACGATTCTCGGCTGGTTAGAACGGTGCTCGGAAGATAAATGCTGAACGGGCCGGTGTGCGCACGCGCACACTGCCCGTTCAGCATTGCGGTCATCGGAAGCCCGCCCCTCAGGGGGGCGGGCTTGCGATGATCGAGAGTGCGATCTGCCTGTCCAAGATAGGCAGATCGTACGTTTTTTTAATCCCTTTACAACCATCGCAAGACTAAAGTCTTGCGATGGTTGTAGAGTGTATGGCCACCTTTCGACGATGCACGCTGCCGGGAATGTGCACGTCAGACAGACACCGTGGGACACAGAAGACACAGCAGTCAGCACTGGATCGGAGACCGGCACCAGTGCTGGAGTGATTGCTGATTGGAAGGAAGAAGATGATCGGATCAAGAGGCTTCACTTAGGGTAAGTCCTTACAGCACAATTACAATGGTGAAAAAAAAAATGCTGCTTTAATATCACTTTAATTGTCATAGTATACACATGGCAAATTGTGTCCATAGGTTTATTTCGATTATTTTGTCTGTTTATATTTTTACATATTTGAAAACTCTTACATAGTTTTTTCATCTTGACCATATTCGTGAGTGCAGTATAGCTGCAACAATATTAGAGCTGCAACAGTTAATCGATTTAGTCGATTAAAATCGACGATTGAAAACATTGGCAACGTTTTCGATCATCGATTAGTCGGCTATCTATTGATTACCCTGTTCGGGGCTCCACGCGGGGCCTGATTCACACGCTGCGCCCGACGTGCCCACGCCGCCGCATAAGCCACGCCCACCGCACAGGCTGAAGCCGCGCACGCCGCTGGTCTCCTCCTCGCCGTGAGCTCCCTCGCCCGCCGTGAGCTCCCTCAGCCGCCGCATAAGCCACGCCCACCGCACGCTGAGGACATGCGTCTGGCCCTCTCCTCCTGGGGAGTTTCCCAACTCGCAGCTGCCCGCCGACGACCAACAACACCGCTGACAACACCGTCATTCAAAGTAAGTCGAGATCGTTAAAATGTATTATTGCTGGGATTTGTTGTTCCTCTATAGCTGGTGGTATTCTCCATTGCCCTGTATAATGTATTATTGCTGGGATTTGTAGTTCCTCTATAACTGGTCAGTGGTAATCTGCATTGCGCAGTATAATCATTATACAGCGCAACGGAGAATACCACCAGCTATGGAGGACTACAAATCCCAGCAATGATACATTATATACAACACAATGCAGAATAACAGCAGTTACTTTGGTGCTGTATAAATGTATTGCTGGGGTAGTGGGATTTGTAGTCCTCTATAGCTGATGGTACATTGTGCTGTATATGTACCATCAGCCAGCAATACATTATACACTGTTTGTAAAATGTACCATTGATGGCATTTGTTGTATTCCTATATAGCTGCTGGTATTCTGCATTGAGCCGTATAATCATTATACAGCGCAATGCAGAATACCACCAGCTATAGAGGAATACAAATCCCAGCAATAGTACATTGTACAGCGCAACACAGGATAACACCAGCTAGAGGACTACAAATCCCAGCAATAGAACATTATACAGCGCAATGCAGAATAACACCAGCTACAGAGGACTACAAATCCCAGCAATAGAACATTATAGTATAATGGACTATTGCTGCGATTTGCTGTATTCCTCTATAGCATTGCAACGCTGTATAATGTACTATATTGCACACCACACTTTTTTTTTTATTTCCACCGCTCCAAGCTTGCTCCCGTGATGGACTACAATCTCAATACAAACTAGTAGTCCATCACTGGAGCCATTTTTTTGTATCCGATTAACCGATTAATCGAACTTAATAATCAGCTAACTAATCGATTTATGAAAATTATTGTTAGCTGCAGCCCTAATCATGTACAGCTTCCTCTACCTGATTCCTCTCCTCTGTTCATCTATGGGCACATCTTGTGGGGTCCAATATCCTTATCACCAATGTTTTGCTGTTAATCTCCTCTTTATACTCAGTGATATCCTCCCGCAGAATTTCAGAGGAAACAAAACAGAGGGGCTTCCATTGCGCAGTATGTTAAAAAAGTGGTTTTATTCAAATAAAAATCAGTATACACGGAAACAGCTTTGCAATGCTCCAAAGTACCTATTGATCCAGCCAGAAACCCAATGAGCCCCTAACTTCCTGTTATTGGTTGATAACACTGCGTCTGCTACACTGAGATTACAAGGAAAGTTTTCACCCCTGTTCCTCACTCCTGGACTAACCCCCCCACTCCATGTAACTGTGATGAGGAGAGAACGAGGTGTTCTGTAGTCCAGACTACAGAACACCTCATATTGATTGTCAGTCAATAACAGGAAGTTTGGAGCTGGCAGGATCAACTGTTTTTTTTTCCAGTACTTGCAGCATTTTTAAAAGACAAAACATGGAGAAATTTACCTTTTAAGAAATGTCTTTGCCAGGTTAAACAGAAAACAGTCTTCAAAGAGGCAAGGATTCCTCACTTTCAGATTAAAGCACATAGAGCTACAGGTCTACAATTTTTAAAATATTGTTTTTATGAAAATAAATACAGTGCAGATAAAATATGTACGGCAAAGATATTTAAAAAAAAACAACAATAAGCAACAGCAACATAAATAGAATTAAGGGTGCAATGTGCTTATGTTGCATGGTCTTTGCAAGAGTTCATTTGGATTCAGAGTAAGTCCATTTTCATATTCGGCTTTTGCATCCCTACATAATTTTGGTGGTAAACGAGAGTTTAGCTGCCCAAAGCAGCATCTTTTTGTTGACCCTCTGGAAGGTGTCGCTGAGCCAACCCCCACCCAATCAAAATGGTTGAGTGGTATGATGTAGAATTGCTGAAGTGTTTTTATTTTACTTTGGTGGACACTCCAATAATGCCAATTGTTCTAACTAGGTCAATATATCCAGATGACCATGTTCTTCAGTCTCATAATCAATTTTTTTTTGCAAAGGAATAAAGATCTTATGCTTCATCAGGAGATAAGACTCCCATCCACTTTCTAAACCTTGTAATGTAGGAGTGTGTGATATTTAACTATTTGTTATTCTCTTATTGTGTAGTGTATTTATTGTTAATAATGTATCTCCATTACCATAAGAATTATAAAAACTGTATGAAACTTAACTCTCGGCAGTTTATCTATATGTCATTAGTATTGATCAGTAACCTTAGTGTGAGAGGTGTGTATTCAGCCAGACTATTTATCACAGAGACTTTACATCCATTAACAGACTTTCCAGACTCTTAAAGGAGAGCTATAAGGTGAGTGATTTGCACTCTTCCTCATAGTTAGAGTCGACCTGGGACAAAGAAGCTGTCACAGGTCGGCACTATTGATCAGGAAGTGAGCAGGAACATGTACCGATCCTCTCACTTCCCGATCGTCTCCCTGTAGTGAGCGTCCCCCACAGGGACCCCCCCCCCTCTGTCCTCCAGCGCTGAATGGAGGAACGAACGGGGGAGGGGGCGAGCCAGCTGTCACTCACACAGCTGGGTGGATCTCAACAGTATTGTTGGGATCCGTCCCGGCTGGGGTGCTCTCAGTATATCGCGGGCTGAGCTTTGGGTCACGGGAGGAGGTTAGAATATGTACTCCCGTGACCCTAAAGAGAACTATGGGGAAAAAAAACTTGTCTTTTTGCTAGATTTTTTACGACCCCAACTGACATTTAATGTTATCTGCTCTACATCTAACTTGGGGCTGGTTTCTGTCAGTTGGGTTGCAAACTGCAATGGGGGTGCAAACAGGCATTATATCTCAATCTAAATGGTTTTGTCGTTGACTTGCAAATCTTGGAGAAATAAGGGTGGCATTGCATTCAGCATGACTTCCTCATCCTGCCTACACAGTCTGGGGGTCGTCCGGTATCATTATTGCCACAGCCACATATTAGGCATTTTATAGTACAATAACTGTAATACACCGACTGGGCCTAGGACAATGTGTAATGTACAGCAGGACCTTTGCAAATGGGCTAAATAGAAAAGATGAGACTGTTAACTAACAAAAAAATTATATTTCTAAGCTAAAAATTGTGCGGGACATTTATCAATTCTTTTGCATGGCAAAACAGGGGCAGGGAGACAAATTGCGAGACAGATTTATTGCAAGGTTACAGCTTGAGTCATAAATTCCTTCCTCAGCTGTTTGAAAGTAGCACTGCCACTGGGAAAAAAAACCTGACCCTGACCACTTCTTAATAATGTTTGTTTAGAGTGAAAAATCTCTTGCATCCTCTGCAATAAATCTGTCTCAAAACGTTGCAATACAGATACACAGGTCTGTAAACCTGCCACAGAGACTTTCCTAATGGAGAGGCAGTCTAATGTGCAACAAATTCTGTTGCTAGTCATATATGTATATAGAAGATGTCTTGCTGCACTCCTTACCAGAAACGATAATCTGCAAGATGCATGTGGGTGCTCGTAGTTGCCACAGATGGCGCCGTGATATACATGTAGTTTTCAAAGGATGTCACCAGCA